GATGAGCCCCTTCCAACATTTATGGCTCATATGTTGAGTGAGTTTAACAAATTGAAGAGCCCACCCCCTGAACAAGAACAGATTGAACTGATATGTATGAGTAGCACTGTATGGCATGCCTGTCTTTTCAGTAATGGACTTGTTGCTCCGAGCTCATGAGGTGCATGCAGTCCTTGGACCGAGAGGCAACCAGCCTCCTTCTACCCAGTTCAGGAGAAACCAGACCAATGAGCCCTACTGCTTCAAATGCTCTCGGCCTGGGTTTACGTCTCGTACTTGCCCGAGCTGCAACGCTGAATCACATATGCCAGCACCCCCCGCTAGATCTCAGGTCAGTCCCGAGCCCACCCCCCCAATAAATCTGACCCCAGACAGAGGTGAGCAAAGACCTGATTCAGGAGGCATGTCAGCAGACTCCCTACTGCCGACCAGACAGCCGGGAAACTTCAGGGGAGGGAGGACATTTCAAAGAGGCAATCCTCTCTCCAGACACTAATTGAGCCTCAACCACTGACCACACCCCCACAAGAGAAACATGTTCTAGGCCATGTCGAGGACTCTGATTCTCAGGCTCCCTGGAACACACCGCTGAGGACAAAAATAAACTTTAATTCTGTGTCTGTGGAGGCCACCTTAGACACAGGAGCTACCCTTTCAGCTGTACGAGCTGTACTTCGTCAGAGTGGATAATGCCTATCCAACCAAAACACGCCAGTGGGTGGGTCCACCTGTAAGCCTTGCAGACAACGCGCCCTGCACCCCTGATGGTGTCACTTGGCTATCCATCGGCTTCATGAACAAGCGCTTCTACCAGCGTTTTGCCATAATCCATAACCTGTCAACCCCTTTCATTCTAGGAATGGATTTTATGATCAGAGCCTCGATTACCATCCACATCCCCTCCAGAACTGTATTTATGGATGAAATTCCTTGTCCTGTTGATGAGGTTGTGGACTATACAGTTGAACCACTGATTGAAAAAGACACTATCATAACCTTGGACACCCTACAATCTTCACTGGTGACAAAAATAGACGAGGCGAACCTCGAGGAACAACAGAAAGAGGCCATGTTCAGTCTTCTTACCAGTTTGATGACATGTTTGATGGTAATCTTGGACACACTTCCCTGACGGAACACACAATTGATACAGGTCAGGAAAAGCCAATAACTCTCCCTCCCTACCGCAGCTCTCCTGTGAAGAAAAGACTCATAGAAGAACAGGTAGAGCAGATGTTGAAAGACGGAACCATTGAGCAGTCTACCAGCCCCTGGGCTGCCCCAGTTGTGATCGTTAACAGACCTGACAGGGACCCGAGATTCTGTGTGGACTATAGAGGTTTGAACCAGGTCACACAAAAAGACTCTTACCCCCTGCCTCGTATTGACGAGTCGCTTGATTTTCTGCAAGAGGCAGTTCATCACAACACTGGATTTGGCTCGTGGATATTGGCAGGTGGCAGTTGCAGAGGAATCCAGATCAAAAACAGCCTTCATATCACACTGTGGCCTTTTTCAGTTTCGTGTCCTCCCCTTTGGTCTCTGCAACGCACCAGCCGCATTTCAAAGACTAATGAACAGTGTACTTGCTGGTCTCATCTACAAGACATGTGCAGTGTATCTCGATGATATTGTTATTGCTTCTCCCACCTTCGAAGAGCACCTGACTGATCTCGAGGAAGTGCTCAAAAGACTCAAAGCCGAGTGTATCTGCTAACTTTTCATTAAGTCTATGTGTGGCAGTATGTCAAATTGCAGGTTGGTTGCTTCTTCGGCTGTGTGCAGCTGGGGACAGCCTTCTTTTCACCAGGGGGGAATATGTAACAGTCAGAATATATTAGTAGTACCAAATAGCGCCACAAGGTGGTGTCTCTGTTTTGTTTAAGTGTGTGGGTGAGAAAGTCTCTCTGTGTCAGTCCTCTTGTATGTCGATCAAGAGAGGACTCTCCAAAACTCTAGTGACGAGTTGGTGCAGGATGATTACCTATGTTCACCTGTCATGTGTGATCAGGATACATAGTGCCGTGTTCACCTGTCATGTGTGATCAGGATACATGATGCCGTGTTCACCTGTCATGTGTGATCAGGATACATGGTGCCGTGTTCACCTGTCATGTGTGATCAGGATACATAGTGCCGTGTTCACCTGTCATGTGTGATCAGGATACATGATGCCGTGCTCACCTGTCATGTGTGATCAGGATACATGGTGCCGTGCTCACCTGTCATGTGTGATCAGGATACATGATGCCGTGCTCACCTGTCATGTGTGATCAGGATACATAGTGCCGTGCTCACCTGGCTTTGTTTGGTCCTTTTAGTAAAACAGAATAAAAGTGCTGTGTGGAAATCCCCAACTTTATCATCTGTCTAACTGATGCTAACCAGCTATCCCGGGACTTATTGCCAACTAGCTACACCTCCTGTACCAGCAGAGTCCACATTCAGTCCACTGAAGTCCATAAAGAGTGAAGACGTGTGTGATCGGGAGCTAGCTGTGTGTGGATGCTAACGTTAGCTAAAGGCTCAAACCAACCTGCTCTGTGCAGCTTGATTTCCGGTGTTAAAATCACATCCAGCACTTGTGTTTGTCGGTGGAGCTCCTCTTCGTATCCACATGTTGCTGTTTTCCTGACAGCTCTCTCCAATCTGTCACCTCTGAAAGCCGGACATCTGACACACACACACACACACACACACACACACACACACAACACACACACACACACACACACACACACACACACACACACACACACACACACACACACCACACACACACAGCCGAGAGACACACACAGAGACACACACACACACACACACACACACACACCACAGCCGAGAGACACACACACAAGCCGAGAACACACACACACACACACACCGTCTGTTACAAAGTCTACAGAACCTTAAGGACACTTCACGAGCTCCACTCACGAGCTTTAATCCACG